CTTTGCGTCTTTCGGTAAAGTCACGTAGGTAGAAAAATAATAGATCACGACGTTTCGATCGCAATACAGGCAATCGTCTTCAGATGATAGAGAGAGACAGACAGACTTTGACTTTTAAACAACTTTTATTGCCGCCAGCAGCAACATCACTGAAGGCGACTTCGATATGAAATACACAAAGTCACCAGCAACACAAATGCAAAATTAACGCTACAGATCCACGCCCGAGAGAGAAATATATTTACGTGACTTTACTGAAAGACTCAAAGAGTATGCAGTCAATAAGTTTTGGCGGCGGGGAGTGGTGGCGCAGTGGTTGGGGCACTGCGGCTCTGCACCTGCCCACCCACGTGACACCCAGCGCGTGCCATCTTCCTCGGGCAGCATTCGTTCGAACCAAAACAACAAGAAGACACATTTTCTATTGGTATTCGGTTAAAATAAAAACAAGAACAACTTCTCAATAAATTTCGATTGCACGGGCATAAGTAGTACTAATCACATACCTGCATTTCCCATAAATATGCTAAATTCCTCTTGATATGCAAATTCCTTTGTCAAGGCGCTCTTCCCCCTCCAACCCAGCTTAAATATACGCTGCCAAGCCTGGTGGTGTTCATTCAGACGCTGTCTTTCTGACAGACCTGTTCTTCACCCGAGGACGGCTGCTTGCGTTGTGGCCGAAACGTCGTGAGAATTATTTATAATGTATTATTATTTTATTATTTGCATTCTACGTGACTTTACCGAAAGAACCAAGAAGAACTTCGCAATATTTCAAGAGCCACACTGCAAGGTGGTGAACGCGAGACAGTCATATTCGAGATTGGAACCAACTCTCCCCCCCCCATCCCACATTCAGCAATCACCTTCACTCACTAAAAATTCCACTCCGCACTCAAAACTCACTTATTTCCCCGAGCTCCACGCCCGACAACCCCTCAATCTCCACCTCATACCTGCCACCGTCACTTCTCCATCTTCACAGTCGCACGAGACGTCTCTCGCTCATCAACCCCATTCATTCGCCCCCATTCATCATCACTTACCATCGTCGATTTCGCATCCTCAACGCCGACGTGTTCCTAAGAGGAAGCAGTAACCAGGCTCAACACTCGGGCACATTTTTCGTTTATTTTCATCTTCCGTGGTTGGGTGCACGCTGGGCGATTTGTTAACCGGGCAAGAGGTTGCTAGGTTATTTAATTTGAGTGTGTCTTTCTTCTAAATTTCAAGCTTGCGTACCGTACCTCGTCGTCGTCCACTCATTGACATGCTAATTGTTTCTCTGCCCCTCCCTCTCTCCGCCCCCGCCCCCTCTATATTTAAAGCCTCGTCACAGAAACGATCCCTCTCTCTTTGTGCCGATACGTGTTCTCTCTCTGTGTATCTCTGTGATATCTGTCTGCTTATATGTCTGTCTATAGTTTTCTGGTTAGATTTTTGTTGCTATTTCTTTTATACCTGATGATGATTGCTTGTGTTGCAATCGAAACGTCGTAGTATGCAATTATTAATTTATTATTTTATCTTTATACGTGACTTTACCGAAAGAACCAAAGAATAAAATAATCAAGTTACAATGACGGACTTGCGTTGCCCCCATATCCTGTCAGCCCGTGCGGACGGCACGTGTGAGACGCATGCGCACGAAGACCCCCTTCCTTGTGTATAATAGAGGTGTTTTTTTGGGAGGTTAGATTTCGTAAATATAAATGTGTCGCTAAACCCGCCACCACCCGACACGGCCAATTAGTAAGGTTTGTCACGTAAACAAAACGTGGCAATTCGTTACTAGTACAGCACACCGCTTGTGTGTTGGAGAGTAAACCCACTACCATTGTTGTGGGTACACGAATTGACTGAGTCGACCTAGGGGAGGCCCAGGACCGGTTCAGATAATCGTCACTGGTTTTGGCCGTGAGCAGAAATCGAACTCACACTCACATCCACACATCACATGACACACACATGACACACACGACACACACACCCACATATCACACACATACCCACACATCACGCACACACCCACACATCACACACGCACACATCACACACGCACACAAACATCACACACACACAATGGCTTCACTGTGAACATTTACAGCTTTCTTTCTTTTTATTATGTAGAAATACTAATAAAGTTTAATATGCCACTGTTAATGACTTTTTTGCAATCATGCTACAGAGCAGCATCTGGAAGTTGACATTACAGAACTATTATGGGACCTTTTTGCCAGTATCAAAGTACAAAAAGTAAGAATAATTTTTACCCTTTTATTGTCAGACAGGGTAAAACCTATTCTTATTTTTCATTACAAAATTACTACTCCCGAAGGTTCATCAACTGCATCTTTGCTCGTATTCTATATGGGAACGTCGGTACATGTTGATGTTTTGGATACATTGTACAACACCTGCACGATGGCATGTCTAAATGTGGCTTTAGAAGGAAGCGTTGTGCGTGTAGTCATTCACAGGTCCTCGAGTGTAGCTTTGACATTAACGCTGTGGGCGCCACGGTGGCTGGGAGATGTTATCTCTCTCGCCTGCGGTGCAAGAGGGCCGTGGGTTCGATCCTGTATGTATGTTGAACTCCTTTCGCGCCGTACGTAGCCAACCGTGCTAATCGGAGGGGGATGTTGAGTAACGCGACATCAATGTGATATGCCACGTGGACGCTGACGATGCCTGCTGTATATTTGGAGTTTGCGTGTCTCTCTCCCCGTGGTCGCGTGGATTTTTCTCCGGGTCCTCTGGGTTTCCCCCCTCCACATTCGGAATCAACATCACGCGTTTCGAGTGTTTGGCTGCTGTTATAAATTGACACACGTGACAAGCCACTTCGTTAAGCTTTCATTTGTGGCCAGGTCGCTTCTGCAAATACAGCTTGATGGGTGGTTCCTGGTAGAATAAAACGGAGTTCAGTTTTTTAGTTTATCTTCTTGGTTCTTTCGGTAAAGTCACGTAGAATGGAAATAATAAAATAATAAAATTAAACATAATAAAAGACCAGGTCTGTCGGGGAGACAGCATCTGAATGACGCTGTCTCCCCGACAGACCTGGTCTTCACCTGAGGACGGCTGCTTGCGTTGTGGCCGAAACGTCGTGAGAATTATTTTATAATGTTTTATTATTATTATTTTATTATTTCCATTCTACGTGACTTTACCGAAAGAACCAAGAAGACGAATCCCTGAGTCACGAAAGCTTTAAATGGATTTTTTTTAGTTTAGTTTAGAGTTGCAGTCTGGTCAGCATTGCTGACACAAGCATCCCATAGTAGCAATTTAAAAATAAGATAAAGTTCATGTTCAAAGTTCATTTATTAGGTATATCCCTGTGAGCCATTCGGCTCTTGAATCGAGTGCAACCGCAACAAACAAAAACACATGAACAAGAAAACATCTTAAAGTGACTCTGTGCAAACAGAAAATCCAAGAAAAGACAGCAAAATATTGCAGAAAAATCACCGTACACTAGCGCTGTGCAAATATCCCAGTGAGATGCAATTCAGTTGATTTGCATTCTGTGAAAAATAGAAACATCGAGTCGACTTTCAGCAGGGGGCATTGTGGCGAAAGCACGTCCCGCCGCCGCTGCGTGAAATAAATCAACAAGGTCACTTAAATGAATCTCAGAAAGAAACTAAATCTGCCTCAATGGCCCAATCTATAACACAACGGGGGGTTGCGTATGGGGTGTTACAATGCCCCCGCGTGCGTTGCAGATCAATACAATTTCATCCCATAAATTCTACGAATAGCACAATTGTGCTGTAGTAACATTGCGACAGCAGCAATAACAATAAAATATTTAAAATACTTTTTTTAAAGCACGCTTTTTATGAAATGTACTGCCCGAGCTGCCCCTCCCCCTGCCCCCTTCCCCCATCGCCCCTCCCCTCCTTCCACATCTCCCGCCCCTGGGCGTGGCTCCCCGAGGCTTGCCGTGACGTCAGGGACCACGTGGTGATTTACAGGCAACGTCAGTTGAGAGTGGATAATTAGAGCCGTAAAAAAGATTGTTTAAACACATTTTTATTTCATTTGTTATGATAGAATATAGTATTGTCATCAGTATGACATAGCTATACGAAGTTTGCAGTCGATAAGACATTGGGAATACGGTTGAAATTGAGTTACAAGATTTTTGGATACGACAACACACACAGTAAGTTAAATAAAAGCGTGTAAAGTTTTAAAACATGTTTTGGATTTTTTATGATAGAATATCGTGTTGTCATCAGTGTGACATACCTATACGAAGTTTGCAGTCGATAGCACATTGGGAAAGTGTGTAAAAATTGAGTTACAAGATTTATTTTTTGAGGATACAACAGACGAATTGAGTTAAATTAAACAAAATAAGAAAAATAAATAAAAGTGTGTAAATAAAAACAAGAACACAGCAGTAGCGGCACACTTGTAAACGTGTCGCAGGCCAGCCCCTGCACCGGACGTTCCACCACAAGACACGCAGGAACACTGGGTTTGTCGTCCTTTGCAGGCTTCCTCCTCCATCCAAGGGGTCGAACGTGGACAGAATGGAACTTTCCTCCATCACGGGGTGGGGAGGCTGCCGCTCTCGTCTTCGGCAGTTCTCGTGCGTTGCTGCTGCTGGGTCTGCGTGCCACGGTTGTGGAATTCCCGATCGTTGGAAATATGCCCATCCGACAGTGTGGATACTTTTAAAGTTTCGTCTTAAACATCTTCTTAGATCGGTTTATTGTATTTAGCTTCTCCGTCTCTCGTGGCCCTCGTGGTAGGCTCCTTACAAAACACATTCCTACGGAAGGAGCTGGTAGAAACGTTGGGTTGCTCGGTCAATGGCCTGCAGGGTCAACGGCGGCGTGGTGTATTCCGCAAATATGCCCGACTGTGAGGGCGGGCACAAGCCGGCGTGAGTAGGTTAAACATTGAGTTTTATAAGGGCACCACCCTCCCACCCAGCCCCTCCCCACTCTCCCCTCTCCACCAGAGGTCGCAAACGGGTTTTGATTCCTTACCCGTACCCGGCCGCACCAGGGTCGCAAACGGGTACCCGTACCCGGCCGGGTACGGGTAGCCGGGTATCGGGTAGGGTACGGGTATCGGGTACCCGGTTATGACCTCTGCTCTCCACCCAGCCCCACCCCTCCCATTTTTGGATGCACGACAGACAGACAGAATAATCCCCTGTGGGCTGGTGTAACCAGGAGGTTCCTACCAGTATAAATGATTATTCTTGTTACCGCAACGAGCCGCGCCCAATGGGCCGCAGCTCGGTCAGCCACCGGCTCTCTTCCAGGTCGCTCGAGACCGCCGCCTCCCCTGGGGCAGTCTCCGGGTTTTGCGGAGGACGTGTCCCCCACGAAGCGAACATCAATCCCAAGGAAATTCCCTCTTGGGTACGGACGTTCCATCGAGGATTGTCGCATATTTGTCCAGCGGGGACGTCCAGGGTGTAAGTCCTTACACCTCAAAACGGTCCAAGTTACCCTTTCCTAAGTGACCCTTCAACTAACGCAATCCGTGCGAAGCTAACGGGTCACACGAAACTGGATTGCAAGACCGAAAAAAAAAAACCCAACCGAGACATTTATTACTCGTGGTTTATTGATACTGGTCGTATTGACCACGACAAAGGGATGACACCAACAGGTCGCATTGACCACGACAAAGGGATGACACCAACAGGTCGCATTGACCACGACAAAGAGATGACACCAACAATGCTCACACCCAGAAAAAAAATGGAGTCGGCAAAAACAATGGCTACATACGTACAATCACCGTTTTAAGATAGCCGGTGGGGGGGGGGGGGCGTAATTAAATAAATTGAAGCAGAGTGCGTTCATCCTCGGGGAGACGTTCAAGCGAAGAGGTTCACCGCTCGCGGGTTTCCGAATGACTTTGACGGCATCGGTCGACGCGACGGCCGCGGGAATCCCGCCCCGAACGGTTCCCGCAGATACCGCGATTATCCCGCGGGCGAATCCCACGTTGGTTCGTTTGCACGCATCAGAGGTCGCAATCGGGGTTTGATTCCTTACCCGTACCCGGCAGCACCAGGGTCGCAAACAGGTACCCGTACCCGGCCAGGTACGGGTAGCCGGGTATCGGGTAGGGTACGGGTACCCGGTTGCGACCTCTGGCACGCGTGCACACGGGGAGAGCATCAGTCAGTGTGTCCGTCCGACCGTCTGGTAGTACTGGTGGTCCACGTGGCAATACTGCCAGACAGTGGTCTGTGTTGTAGTCTTAAGTAGTGGTTCTGGTGGGTCATGGTGGTAGCCATAGTGGCATAACGAGTGGGCTTGGGGGGGTTCAGTGCTTCGGGTGGTAGTTCTACTGGTCCCAGAGGTGGTCCAGGTAGTAGTCAGGAGTGGCTCGCTGTGATAGTCCCAGCAGTCTGATTCATAGCGGTGTCTGTAGTCCGAGTGATAGACCAAGAGCCCCCCATGAGAGTACTGCTGGTGGTTCTTATCGGAAAGGACCAAGTGGTCGACCCGGGTACGAGCCGGCTACCGTCAACCAGAATTGCCATTGCAACGTATGGCCAATGCACGTGTCATACATTTGGCTAGGCCAGTCAAGACTCCCCAGACCACCACCACCCTCCCCCCAATTTTGTAGCCACGATTTTCCCGAACCCCGTTAGGAATGGGATCACAATTGCAGTCGAGGAGTCGCACAATACCGCTCACCACGTGACATTTAAACACATTTCGGCACGTTTAACCGCAAAATGGGGAGTTTATGCTTGCATAACATATGAACAGCTTAACTAAAAAAACACACAACACTTAAACATACCACAGTTTAAAATCATACGTTGGTCGCCAGCTTAGCCACAGTTTAAATCATATTACACGTCTTATGGACTTTGACAACAGCGATTCAACACCAATCGGATGCATTCAGCCGAGTTTGACAGACTCCCCGCGCCTGACCCTCTCAAGTATGTTCGTTGTATTTCTCTCGCACCGTACATAGTCAACCCTGCTAAATCGGTGGTGCGGTGGAAGGACAACAAACCAAACATAAAAATCGAGATTTAAAAAGTGCATAGCTCCAGTGGCTTCCTAATATCGCAAGGGAAGAGCGTTCCAGACGGCCGCAGAAGCGCGTTCGAAAGCGTCGCGCGATGACAGTGACTGTCTCTGTGCGATGGCCAGCCAAAAGCTGCTGGTCATCACAGATCGATAGTACTGGTAGGAACATCCTGGGTACACCAGCCCACAAGGGATTATTGTGTCCGTCCGTCCGTCCATCGTGTAGGGAGGGGCTGGGTGGGGAGGGTGGGGCTGGGTGGGGGGTGGGAGGGGTGGGGCTGAAAGGGGTGGAGCTGGTCACCCCGTGGTGCCCTTATAAAACTCAATGTTTAACCTACTCACGCCGGCTTGTGCCCGCCCTCACAGTCAGCCATATTTGCGGAATACCCCACGCCGCCGTTGACCCTGGCAATTGACCGAGCAACCCAACGTTCCTACCAACTCCCTCCACAGGAATGTGTTTTAACTCCCACCGAGGCCACCAAATGGATTTCCCCACACTCGCCACCAACCACAGCGAATCGTCCGCTCCCGAGCAGACTCTTAAAATCCCTGCGGCGTCGTCTTCTGACAAAAGCACACATTGTCGCGTGCCAATTGCACGATCACACCACTGCCGGCGGAAGGGGCGTCTGCGAGAGGCACCTCTCTAAGAAGAAGCACTCTAGGAGGGTATTTGGCCTACTCTTCCACGCTGGCTGGACATCTTGGGAAGAGGTGGAAGAGTACCCTCGCACCGTGACCGACCTGCCGATCCGACTGTGGCGTATTGTCCACTTTTTATTTTCTGTTTCGTATAAAATTTGTACCTTATTTCAGCTCCGAGAAGATAAACAATATGCATCGGGTTTGATCGCCACACAGTGGAATGTCTGGGAAAGTGCCACCCACACTGCATGAAGGTTTACTCGGGCCACTCGAGAGAGATACGGGTGAACTGTGAATGATCTCTTCTGGAGCTCGCGGCGGCGAGATGCCATCTCCCGTATCCGTCGCTGCATTGATATGACACATTCAAAAAGTCAGTTCATCTTGAACCATTCATTTCTAGTGACTTTACTTTCATTTTCCTGCAGCCCGTGTGGTTTGTATGAATGTACGTTGAGGGGAGGGGGGAGGGGGGATAACAGCACTAAACGCAAAAAGCAGTTCTGAAGAAATTAATTATCTGTAATTTCGGACTAAAGTGCAAAGTGTCATTGGAATGATGCGGAGTGAAGAGAGTTCCCACGTGTGTAGAAGTAAAGCTGCACTGGGTTTGGGAACGATCATACAGTGTTGTCCATAACATTCCGGGGTGGGCTATCACCCCCCCAACTCTATATAGATTAACTATTTTAAAATCCTTTATATTAAGTTCACTTGCTTGCTTGCGTGCTTGCTTGCTTACGACCGTGCAAATCTTTCGGTCGTTTTTTAACCCACTTCCCGTGATCCAATCGAGCTAACATTTTGCACACAGGCTCGTTGTGCGTGACAATTTATTTTGTGAAATTTTTTTCCCAAATTTTTACACTGTTTAGGGAATTTTTTTACATATTTAATTACCAAATGCTTAATGGTGGCAGACAATCATCTGACCCATAGGTGGCAGCCATCTCAAGCCAGAGGACGAGAGGACTCTAGCCGCCACGCATATAAATGATTTATAGTGAAAAACTTTGTTTTTACGGGTTACATTTTTATTTTACCAGGTAAGGCCCACCCACCACTATACAGCTCTTTTTTCGTTTCCTCAACAAAAGTGAGTTAATTATAGTCACGGCGAACGTAGCGCGTTTACGGCTTGTAAATGTTATATATAGCTTTCTAATATTATATTAAGTATACAAAAAACATATACATTGAAACAAAACACTGCTGGAATCTGCAAGCCAATGCTATGGTATGGTACTAGACTGGGAGTGCGCACTGGTGCTTGAAGTTTCTGCGCTGGCAAGAGAAGCAGCTAGCGGGCAAATTCCACAAGGCTTTTGCTCGCCGTTCAGCAGAGGTCGCAACCGGGTACCCGATACCCGTACCCTACCCGATACCCGGCTACCCGTACCCGGCCGGGTACGAATACGGGTACCTGTTTGCGACCCTGGTGCGGCCGGGTACGGGTAGGCCGTGAGTCACTGGTGAGTCACCGTTTGTCACTCATTTCCCAACGTCTTGTCTCTTCTCACAATTCAAGTTCCTAGAATCAACCCACCCGCGCCTGCAACATGGCTTCATCCAAGAGGTCGCAATCGGGTATCCGATACCCGTACCCAACCCGATACCCGGCTACCCGTACCCGGCCGGGTATCGGGTACAGGTACCCATACCGTACCCGGCCAGGTACGGGTACCCGTTTGCGACCCTGGTGCGGCCGGGTACGGGTACAGGTAAGGAATCAAAATCCGTTTGCGACCTCTGCCGTTCAGCGTTTTAACTTTGTGCGATATTACATTTGTAAGCAGTCAACCGCAATAAACCTTGTTGTTTCCATTCCAAATATAGCGACTCCTTTACTTACGAACGAGTTAGGTTCCAGAGGTCTGTTCTTAAGTCAATTTGTTCGCAAGTCCAACTTTACTCCTGTCGATTCCAAACACGTTGTATGGCGTGTACTATAAAAACACGGGAAATGGCTTTAAAAGTTGTATCATCTTTTGTAGATGTAGATGCCACTGGTTATTCACGTTCTGCAGATGGAGATGCCACCACCGCCATCTATTGCGCGGCGGTTGAACTTACGGCTCTCGGTCCACACAGACCACTGGTTTATTCGTATCTCTGAAAGTTTCTAAGTAGAGGAGTCCCTGTACACAATAAGAATCTGAAATTATTTAAACCCTCGTTTTACAAGTGAACCGGATAAGCTTACGATAGATTTGTCTCCTGCGTTGACTTTCAAGTTTTCTCGCAGTCGGTATCATCGCCGACCTCCAACTCGGATGCCTCTTCTTCGGTTCCTTCAAGTCTTTGATCCACGGCGGATGTTTCAACATCCGCACGTTCTTCGACATCAACGCGCTCCAACGAAATCTGATCGTCGTCACCACCACCACCACCACCACCTTCTTCTTGCTCGGTCGCCTCAGCAGCGACGTCCGCAAGCGGGCCCTGTGGACGCGCGTCGCTGGCTTCTGCGCAACGGGCCTTGCCACCGAGATCACCGCAACGGGCCGACTCACGCCCGCCGCCCTCCAGGTTTCCCCCACGCCGCTCCTCCCGCTCCTCCGAGTGAGCCGCGAGCTCCGGCGCCGCCTCCGGGGGGTCAACCTGCGCCAGCTCCAGGTCCTCGAGGCCCGCGCGGTAGTGCAGCATGAGAAGGGTGAGCGCCTGCAGCCGCTCGTTGGACTTCCTCACCTCTACGGCGATCAGCTCGGCCGTGGCGCGAGCCGGCTCGGCCGAGGCCGCCGCCGCCAGGTCTTGCTTGAGCGCGCTGTTCCTCTCCAGCTCGACCTCGATCTCGCACTGCAGCTTCTCCAGCATCAGCTCCAGCTTCTGCTGCCGCTCGGCGCTCGGGAGGTCCCGGTAGAGCGCCCGCCCGATTTCCTTCACCGCCACGAAGACGCTGTCGTGCAGGCCGCCGCGGTTGGCGCCCGCCGACCCCCGGCACGTCCTGTCCGCCGCGTCGCAACCCTCGTCCGCGCCGCCGCCGCCGCCGGCGCCGTCGGTTTCGCAGACGACGCCGTGAGCCGTCTCGGGCGGCCCGTCATCACCGGTCCGCTTGGCTCCCGGGCGCAGCTGCAGGCGTTTGCGAGCGTACGGGATGAGGTTGCGAGCGAGCGCCGCCGCCTTGTGCATGCTCTGGGGCCGCTGCCGGTCCGTCTGCCGAGTCCTCGGGCCCGCGCCGTCGCGCAAGCACCGCGGCTTCTCCGTCTGGTACTTCTCGCGGCATTTCTTGTGGCAGACGTAGGCGCAGCGGCTGCACCTGGATGCCGAATTGGTCCAGATTTGGTTCTTGCAGTAGTCGCAGTTGGTCGGATTTTGAAAGAGCGCGTCCTTGAAGTCGTGCTTCGACGCCTCCCTCGTTCGCAAGGCGCCGTCGTCCTTCTCCGAATCCGAGGCGTCGTTGTCCGGCGATCCCGTCCTGCGCGTCTTCGACACCGCCTTTGGCCCCGCCGACGCCCCTTTGAAGTCATCGGTGTAGGTGTGCGAAAAGTGCAGAGTGACCTCGCCGAAGCACAGCTCCTCGTTGAACCCTTTGTGCGACGCCAGCTGCTTGAACTGCGGCCGACAGAGCAGGGCGGCCGGCTTGGGGTCCGGCGGACGCAGCAGGTAGGTGCGATAGAACTGCAGTGAGCCCGTGTCGAGGCACTCGGACACGATCTCGTCCACGGCGACGCTCGCGTGGCCCACGCACGTGGCGGTGGCGCAGGCTGGCCGTGCCCCCGGGGCCACGCGCTCCTGGCACCACACCAGCACATTCAGATACTTGTGGTGGCCCTCCACCTGCAACTCGGCGCAGTCGGCGGCTTCGTCGGTCCAGGCGCAGGCGTTGTTGCCGTAAGCCGCCTTGGTCGACGTCCACTCGTCCGCCCTGGCGGTCGCCCTGGCCGACTGCGCTTCCTCTGCGCTGGCGGCGTCGGCCTTGGCTGCCGCCGCTTTCGCCGCCTGCTCCGCTAAGCCTTTCGCCGGCCTCGCCGTCGAGGGACCGCCGGCGCCGGCGTCGGCGTCGGGGGCGGATTCCGGCTTGTCCTTGGGCCTCGGCGGCACGGGCGGTTTGACGGGGCCACTCGTGCCGCTGGCGTCTTGAGACTCGGACGCGTTTGCGTCCGCGGGAACCCTCGGGCACTCGGCAGCGCAGCCGTCGCTCGCTTTGGCGGCCTTCGAGCAGTAGGCCGCCGCTCCTTCCCTCGGTTTAGCAGAATGCGACGGAGAACCTCCCGGGGAGGCGTTCTTTGCGGCGGCAACGGCGGCGGCACCAGCAGGAGCCGGAGGAGCCGGCGACTGTTTGAAGCTGCCCGCAGCCACACGCGGAGCCTCGTCTGCCGCCTGCGCTTCGTTCATCGCCGCCAAGCAGAGGTCCTCGAAGTCCGAATCGGGGTTGGCAGGGTCGTCGACCGGGAGGTTTTTTGTCACGGATGCCGACGCCACCGGCGGCGCCGATACCGTGGCTCCCGCTGGCGGGTGGCTCGAGTAGACGGCGCCGGTGGGCAGTTCTTCCCGTTGCAACACGATCCGGACAGGGTCGGCCGAAGCGAGCAGCTTTCCGGCGTGCACCAGGGAGTAGACGTTGTGACCTGCAGAAGCACGCCGGGCGGCAAGGTGTCCGTGTTTCGCGGGAGCAACGTTTTGGCAGCGCGGAAAGTTATTACGAATAATAAAATATAATAATAGGGGTTTTCCCCTTTTTTCTGGCAACAAAACCGAAACTTTTTTACGAGTATTCATGTCTGCATTAACCGCAATATTCTTGGTTCTTTCGGTAAAGTCACGTAGAAGGGAAATAATAAAATAAAAAATATATAAAACAATTAAATTCTCGCGTTTCGACTGCAACGCAAGCAATCGTCATCAGGTGTGAAATCCACAGCAAGAAAACCCAATTGGGTCGAGGCTCAAAAGAAAGCCATCCCTTGGTGTGGACCAATCAGCTTCAAGGACAATGCCAATATATTACACTGGTCAACAAAAAAACTACTTTTTTCTGGTCTGGACTTTTGCAGCTGTTCTAGACTAATTTCAGGGTGCTGATTCCAAATCTGATCTCAGATTTGCTCTATCACATCTCATTTTATGCTATCGGTATACCCCATTTTCATTGATTTTACCCGAAATTAACTCTGTCACTTATGATTGCAAGTTGTTGCGAGTCAGTGACTGCTTTAGTGTTAAAATATGTTGCTGCATTTTTAGGATAGTGTGTTTATAATATCATTTTATGTAGATATCCACATTTATTTAATATTTTTCTTCTGCAGTTTTTATTGAAAATGCAGTATTTGATATCTCAAAAACCTGATGTGATAGACAAAAACTGATGCCAGATTTAGAATCAGCACCCCAAAATTACTTTAAAACTGTTGGAAAACCTTATGCCAGATAAAGTGTGTTGACCAGTGTTATCATAGTGTGTTTTTTGTTTGCATTTGACTGCAAGTGTTGTGGTTAATGCAGACACGAATCCTTGTAAAAAGGTTTCAGTTTTGTTGCCAGAAAAAAGGGGAAAAACCCTATTATTATATTTTGGTACTGGCAAAGGAGGTCTAATGATGAAGTTATTAATAATTATTAATTGTTAACTAAAAAAACTAAAACATTCAACTCCGTTTTATTTTACCAGGTAAGGCCCACTTAGCTATGCGCAGCTCTTTTATCAGAAACCACCTGGGCATCACAAATGAGCGCTTGACGAAGTAGCATATCGTCGACATTTATCGCAGTCAATTGCTCTACACGCGTGGTGACGGTGATTCTACATCGTGGGAAAAACCGGGGGGCCCGGAGAAAATTCCACACGACCACAGGGATTGGAGACATCGCAAACTCCACGTATACAGCTGTCACGGTTGGGAACAAACCCACGGCCTTAGACATACCAGGCGAGGGAGTTAACATCTCGCCACCCGGAAACACTGCCACGTCCATAACACAGGTGTTTTTGGGGTGAGACCGCGTAAATATATAAAAGTGTTATTAAACCCGCCACCACCCGACACAGCCGATTAGTATTTAAAGCTTTCGTGACTGCAGGGATTCATCTTCTTGGTTCTTTCGGTAAAGTCACGTAGAATGGAAATAATAAAATGATAAAAATAAAGCATTTTTATTATTTTATTTTTTATCATTTTATTATTTCCATTCTACGTGACTTTACCGAAAGAACCAAGAAGAAGGTTAGTCACGTAAACAGAACATGCCAATTTGTTACTAGTACAGCAACACCGGTGTGTTGGAGAGCAAAGCCACAACGTTCTGACACAAATCTGGCTGTCAACCTGATGATGCTAGTTGCAATTACTTGCGAAACGTCATACTCAGATTGTAAATGACAGAGCGACGATGACAGAGCGGCCGTAGCGCTGAGGCCGCGGTGGCCACGTTCACGACAATGACGCCGTCGGAGAGATGACGTCAACAATGGGGGAGCGGCTGGTCGCGAATTAATTGAAGGGGGGTACGCGACAGAGCGACAAAACACCGGACCTGCGATGGATACGACGCGATCGTCCTTGCGAACGTCGGCGCTCGCCGCCGGCGTGTTGGGAACCACCGTGGAGACCACCACAATGTCCGGATCTCCGTCCGGCACGGAGATCTGGCGGAACGTGAGCCCTATGAGCGGCGAGGTCCCTTTCGATATTTGTATCTGCGTGAACGTGAGAAAAAAGGAGAGGGAAAAAAAAGCCAAAGACACGTGCTTGTACACGCGCTCCATTATTGCCGGCAACCTTAACAGTCGCAGCACCGACTTTTGAGTAATTCCCGTACGGAGTTGACTCAGGGCTCAAGTTGCCTGCAAGGAACCAGAGACCTATGGCATTGATGGTGAGCGTTGTATTAACTACGTATTTTCAACTAGATAAAAATAAAAAGACAGAAAATAGATGATGCCAACCGGCGTGGTGAAATATGGTCAAATAACCCCCATGACCTGCATGGCAAGGGGAGGCCCTCATCCAAAAGGCTGTACAGATGAATAAATTTACAAGATGTACACATACTTCAGAGAGAGACCCACACATGTTAGAGAGCGGGCCTTTGCCGTTGAAATTTGCCAGTTCACCAGGAATGGTTCAAGCAAGTGTGGCTCTGCCAATTAGACAATAAAGATCAAAACCGGTCTAGACTTTTGTTTGTGTCGAACCAATGCTACTGAACCTTATGCACGCCCAGAAGGCCTTGTGATTCGATGGGAAGTGGAATTTTAGATCTATAGATAGATATCCATATATATATGGAAGGATATAGATAAACGAAGGGGAGTTTAACACGTAGGCTTTCGCGACCAATATTAATCATAATCAACGTGTTTGGGTTTAGATCGCGTTATTTATAAATGTGTCGTAACCCTCCACCACCCGACACGGCCAATCAGCAAAAAAGTGTCACGTTGACAAAAGACAAATAGTTCACTGCTTTAGCCCACCGGTGTGTTGAAGCGTGAAACCACAACATTTACAATTTGAGTACGACGTTTCGCTGGTAATTGCATCCAGCATCATCGGGCAATTCGCCAGAATGGTGAGGCTCTGCTGTGTCTCCCGTTCTTATATAGAGCAGCAGCAGCAGGGTAACGAAGGGGAATACACACCTCAATGAAGAGGAACCTCACACCTCCTGTACACTTGGTGGTCGCCAGCTCCAGGCTGCAGTAAACGTCGGTCTCTTTGTCTGGCGCAGTCGGCAGGAGGAGTCTGGAGCAAAGGGAGAAAAGGGGGCGATCAATTCTAGATTTGAAGTTTTCGTGACCGCAAGGATCCATAAGTCTTTGGTTCTTTCGGTAAAGTCACGTCGGTGAAAATAAAGAATAAAAATAAGGAATAAAAATAACTAAATAAAATCACGACGTTTTGGAGGCAACACAAGCTTCCGTCATCAGGTGGGACAACCACAGCAAAAAACTGAATTACAGAAATTATTTCTAGATTTGAAGCTTTCGTGACTGCAAGGATTCATACTCTTAGGTTCTTTTGGTAAAGTCACGTAGGTAGAAATAAAAATATTTATTTATTTATAAATACAGTAATTCTATTTCTTGCTGTGGTTGTCCCACGTAATGATGAAAGCTTGCTTGTGTTGCCTCCGAAACGTCGTGATTTAATCTAGTTATTTTAATCTTTATTTTTTATTTTCACCTACGTGACTTTACCGAAAGAACCCAAGAGTAAGGGGGTGATCAACCACACTCAACTATTTTTTATTTAGGTTTTTTCGGTAAAGTCACGTCGGTAAAAAAATATCACGACGTTTCGGAGGCAACACAAGCTTCCGTCTGCAGGTGGAGGTGAAATTTCTCCCCGTAGAGGGTATTAATTCTAGATTTGAAGCTTTCGTGACTGCAAGAATTCATACTCTTAGGTTTTTCGGTGAAATTCCTCCACCTGAAGACGGAAGCTTGTGTTGCCTCCGAAACGTCGTGATATTTTTTACCTACGTGACTTTCCCGAAAAAACCTAAGAGTATGAATTCTTGCAGTCACGAAAGCTTCAAATCTAGAATCATTTTTTATTTACCAGGTAAGGCCCACTTAGCTATGCGGCTATTTTTCAGAAACGACCTGGTTATCACAAATGATAGCCCAACGAAGTGAGCTTATCATTGTGTGGAAATTTATAGCAGCCAAATAGTCTAAACGTGCGATGTTGATTCTAAAATGTTGTGTGAAAAAAAACGGAGGACCCGGAGAAAAATCCACTTGACCACAGGGAGAACACGCATACCCTCCAGATATACAATAGGCGTCAGGGTGGGATCGAACCCACGACCTCCTGCATAACCGATTGTTTCTTGTCGGCAGCCATGCCACTTCCTTCACTTTAAGATGTTTTTTTGTTCATGTTTTTGTTTTGTTTGTTTGTTGCGGTTGCACCCGATTCAAGAGCCGAATGACTCACAGGGCTATACCTAATACATTAACTTGAACTTCCTATGACGTTGAAGCGCGTTAAATAAACGAAGCGGGTTGACGATTTTTTTTTTTTTACACCCCCCGAGAGGTTACCTGCTGCATCCTACGAGCTGAACTTTCAGAGTCCCTCGTTTGAGCTCGGCCATCGGAAGACTCGCACCGACGCCGTCGCCCTGAACATGCGATGGGAAGAACGGCTTGTACCTACGCAGAAAACGCGAAAGAAAAAATTGTCAAGCGTATACTAGTTTCACATGCACATCGGTACGAATGTTGTCGATCCGAGATTGATTCCTGGACGGTGCTCACATCATCATCGGCGAGCAAGATAGATCTGAAACCAGTCCTCGGCACCTCGCCCCCATCAACATTTACCAGCACCAACGTGGTGAAGTATGGTCAGTTTTGTTGCCAGATAAAAGGGTAAAAAATGTTTTTATCCTATTTTGCTACTGGCAAAGGAGGTTCCAATGGTGTAAATGCTCACCCCGAGCTCTCATACTATGATGGTGCATTGTCTTTGAGTTGTGCGCCTTTTGGCGTCATCTGGTCCAACACGATGTGAGACTAGGCTCTAAGGAAAGCGGTCTCGGGTGTGGACCAATCAATTTCAAGGACAGTGCATACATTACCAGAGTTGTGTTTTTTGTTTGCATTCCGACTGCAGGTATTGTGGTCAATGCAAACATGACTCCTTGTAAAAAAAAGGTGTCAGTTTTGTTGCCAGATAGGGTAAAAAAAACAATTATCAGCATTCATCCAGTAGTGGGCTATACCGTTATTACCATGCATGACTAGCAGTGCACGTAGTAAGCGCACTTGGAATCGGAGTAATTAATATCACACAAGACGCTATCGCACACGCGCTGTTTTCCGCCTTTGGATTATTTACGGGACGCATCCACCGCAGAGTTGGCCAACAGCCGATGACAAATCCCGGCACACGGTGTAAAGCCGTACGCAGATTGTCCCAGCTTACTCGTGGGCGTGGTGACGCACACCCACGATCCAACCTTCATGGAGGTGGGGGTTGGGGAATCACGCAGAGATCACTGCGTGCGAAACTCCTTACCCGCTGGGGCGAGAAGTAGCCTAACAGACGGCAATAAAAACACGTGGGTTGCTAACCGAACTCCTCCTCCGTACATAAACAACCCACTTGCTTTTTTTTTCGATTTAAAGCTTTCGTGACTGCAGGGATTCATCTTCTTGGTTCTTTCGGTAAAGTCACGTAGAAGGGAAATAATAAAATAATAAAATAAAATTCTCACGACTTTCCGACAGACCTGTTCTTCACCCGAGGACGGCTGCTTGTGTTGTGGGTGGGGCTGGGTGGGGGGTGGGGAGGGTGGGGTTGGGTGAGGAGGGGCTGGTCACCACGTGGTGCCCTTATAAAACTCAACGTTTAACCTGCTCACGCCGGCTTGTGCCCGCCCTCACAGTCGGGCATATTTGCGGAATACACCACGCCGCCGTTGACCCTGGCCATTGACCGAGCAACCCAACGTTCCTACCAGCTCCCTCCGCAGGAATGTGTTTATTATTTTATTGTTTTCCTTCTACGTGACTTTACCGAAAGAACCAAGAAGTTGAACCCACTTGCTTTCCTGCCCTCCTCCTCCCTCCTAGGTAGGCGCTGCACGCACCTGATCTTGTAGCTGGGCAGCGTGTGCTTGCGCCGCAGCACCTTCTTGATCTGGTTAACGATGACGGTGGTGAGCTGCGGCATGGGGCGGCCCTCGTAGCGGGATCGCACCTCGAGCTCGGCCCGCGGGTCACGCGTGAACGCGAAGCTCCAATGGGCGAGGGGCGGCGCGCGTGTCACCCGCACCCGCAGGGGTCCGCGCACGCGCGCGATGCGAACGAACAGCTCGGCGCGTTTGCCGAACACTAGTTCGGCGTGGACGCAGACGTAGCAGCCGCCCGTGTACTCCACGTCCGCCTCCAGTTCGAGCTCGTCCGGTAGTTCAGCTGCGGTCTCGTCGCCCGCCTTGGTTCGTACCCCCCCACACACACACACAACCCCCGCAACGGACGGACAAACGAAAGGGCAGCTCCATCAAGCGCTGTTCGTTTTGCTTTATACACCGGTTCTCTTTTTAAGACATCGGCGGGTATTCGCAGACCAGCCAGGCTCAGCGTGGAGTCGGTACCGAACTTAACAGACAAGAAGCTTCATCCTGCACCCACTTGCCCTGGAAGAAGAAAAAAGTCCAAACTCATCATGGTGTGGGGCAGGTGACGGCGAGGGGAAGGTGGTACGGGGTAGGTGGCGAGCGACAGGCGGTGGCTGCGCGGGGCAGTTGTGCGGTGGGCAGCAGCAACAACAGCAACAGCATCAACATCAACAGCAACAACAGCAGCTACAGCAGCAACAACAACAGCACCAACAATAGCAACAGTAGCAGCAGCAGCATCAACAGCAGCAACACCAACAACAACATCACCCTTCACCTGCTGCCCAGCTGCGTTCCCCCTGGAGGACGAGGAGGGCAGCACGGTACGCACGCCGTGGAAGACGGGCAGCACGCAACAACAACATCATCAACAACAACATCATCAACAGCACCAACAGCACCAACAGCACCAACATCACCCCTCACCTGCTGCCCAGCTGCGTTCCCTCTGGACGAGGAGGGCAGCAAGGTGCGCACGCCGTGGAACACGGGCAGCGCGCAACAACATCATCATCAACACCAACATCGACATCATCATCAACATCATCATCAACAACAACACCACCAACAACATCACCACCCCTCACCTGCTGCCCAGCTGCGTTCCCCCTGCACGAGGGCAGCAAGGTGCGCACGCCGTGGAACACGGGCAGCGCGCAACAACACCAACAACATCACCACCACCAACATCATCAACATCAACAGCACCACCCCTCACCTGCTGCCCAGCTGCGTTCCCTCTGGAGGACGAGGAGGGCAGCACTGTGCGCACGCCGTGGAACACGGGCAGCGCGTCTCCGAGAGAGACGTCCCTGAGACTGAGTCCTTCCACGACGCGTCCCGCGGTGCGCGACTGCAGCAGCTCGAGCATCTCCACGTGGATATTGCGCGTGACCCACGCGCGCAGATCGGAAGATCCGCGCAGCTCGGAGAAGACGCTGAGCAGCAGCGCGTTCAAGCAGCGGCACGCCTCGTACGGGGATGGGGGTGGTGCTGATGATGCTGCTGATGCCGCTGATGCTGATGTGGAAGTGGAGGATGAGGTGGTGGTGGTGGAGGAGGTTGATGAGAGAGGGGTGGAGGTGGTGGTGGATACGGAAGAGCTCGCGCCGCGGAGTAAGGAAAGCAATCGTGGGTGACTAGTGGTGACGGCACCACGTGGTGGGTAGGTGGATGATGATGATGAGGTGGATGATGATGAGGTGGATGATGATGATGATGATGAGAGGAAGCGCAGCAGCAGGAGGAGCTGGATGGCGACGGTGGCGATGCTGGCGAGCAGCGCGGTGAGGATGGCGACTCCCAACATCGCCTCCTGCTCGCGTGGGAGCCGGGGCGTGCGGGGAGCCAGAGGCAGCAGATGGGGGCGAGGGGGGGGGGGGGTGAGGGGGGGGTGAGGGGGGGGTGAGGGGGGGCGAGGGGGGGGGCGAGGGGGGGGCGAGGGGGGGGTGAGGGGGAGGTGAGGGGGGGGCGGGGGGGAGGTGAGGGGGGGGTGAGGGGGAAGTGAGGGGGGGAGGTGAGGGGGGGGGCGAGGTGAGGGGGGGGGCGAGGTGAGGGGGGGGGCGAGGGGGGGAGGTGAGGGGGGGGGCGAGTGAGGGGGGGCGAGGTGAGGGGGGGGGGGGCGAGGTGAGGGGGGGGGGCGAGGGGGGGGATGGTGAGGGGGGGGCGAGGTGAGGGGGGGGGCGAGGGGCGAGCGAGGGGGGGGGGAGACGGGGGGGGGGCGAGGAGGAGGAGTGAGGAGACGAGTGCAGAGAACGAGGGGAGGAGGAGGAGGGGGGGACGACGAGGGGAGATGTGGCTACGAGTGTGAGGTGCGTGCGAGAGTGAGGAGGCGAGTGTGATGGGGAGTGAGGGGGCTGGAAGGACGAGGCGAGGAGGGTGACGAGGCGAGGAGGGTGACGAGGCGAGGAGGGTGACGAGGCGAGGAGGGTGACGAGGCGAGGAGGGTGACGAGGCGAGGAGGGTGACGAGGCGAGGAGGGTGACGAGGCGAGGAGGGTGACGAGGCGAGGAGGGTGACGAGGCGAGGAGGTGGACGAGGCGAGGAGGGTGACGCGTTCACTCGGCACGCTCCTCCGGCTGATGTTGCGACGCCTTGATGGCGATTCCAATTCATAGGAAAGTTAATTTTGGATCGATTCCTCATTAGACTATTGCGGTGAATGCAGAATCGATAGTGGTTGGGAATCGAACGCAGCCTATCGAATCCTTCCAATACGATTCCAAAATCGATTTAATTCAATTCCAAGAATCGATTTTAACGAAACCCATTGCGGCTACTCAAACTAAACACACGATCATTCATAAGAGGGTTATACTGGTAGGAACCTCCTGGTGACACCAGCCCACAGGGGATTATTGGTTCCGTCGTGCAGGTGAGGAGGGCTGGGTGGGGGGGTGGGGCTGGGTGGGAGGGGCTGGGTGGGAGGGAGGGGCTGGGTGGGGAGGGAGGGGCTGGGTGGGGAGGGAGGGGGTGGGGGGGGGTGGGGCTGGTGGGGAGGGTGGGAGGGGCTGGGTGGGGAGGGTGAGAGGGGCTGGGTGGGGAGGGGCTGGGTGGGGAGGGGCTGGGTGGGGGGTGGGGCTGGGTGGGGAGGGTGGGAGGGGCTGGGTGGGGATGGGAGGGGCTGGGTGGGGAGGGAGGGGCTGGGTGGGGAGGGAGGGGCTGGGTGGGGGGGGTGGGGTGGGTGGGGAGGGTGGAGGGGTGGGTGGGGAGGGTTGAGAGGGGCTGGGTGGGGAGGGGCTGGGTGGGGAGGGGCTGGGGGGGGGGTGGGGCTGGGTGGGGAGGTGGGAGGGGCTGGGTGGGGAGGGTGAGAGGGGCCTGGGTGGGGAGGGGCTGGGTGGGGAGGGGCTGGTGGGGGGGGGGGTGGGGCTGGGTGGGGAGGGTGAGAGGGGCTGGGTGGGGAGGGAGGGGGTGGGGGGGTGGGGGCTGGGTGGGGAGGGTGGGAGGGGCTGGGTGGGGAGGGTGAGAGGGGCTGGGTGGGGAGGGTGAGAGGGGCTGGGTGGGGAGGGTGAGAGGGGCTGGGTGGGGAGGGAGGGGCTCGGTGGGAGGGGTGGGGCTGGGTGGGGAGAGAGGGGCTGGGTGGGGGGGGTGGGGCTGGGTGGGGAGGGAGGGGCTGGGTGGGGAGGGAGGGGCTGGGTGGGAGGGGTGGGGCTGGGTGGGGGGTGCGAGTGGCTGGGTGGGGAGGGTGGGAGGGAGGGTGGTGCTGGGTGGGAGGGGAGGGGCTGGGTGGGGAGGGGCTGGGTGGGGAGGGGCTGGGTGGGGAGTGGGAGGGGTGGGGCTGGGTGGGGAGGGGCTGGTCCCCCGTGGTGCCCTTATAAAACTCGACGTTTAACTACTCACGCCGTCTTGTGCCCCGCCCTCGCAGTCGGCCATATTTGCGGAATACACCACGCCGCCGTTGACCCTGGCCATTGACCGTGCAACCCAACGTTCCTACCAGCTCCCTCCGCAGGAATGTGTTTATTATTTTATTGTTTCCCTTCTACGTGGCTTTACCAAAAGAACCAAGAGGATGAATCTCTTGAAGGCACGAAAGCTTCAAATCAACATTTACAAGTCTGAGCTACGACGTTTCGTCAGTAATTGCAACCAGCTTCATCAGGCGGACGGCCAAATTTGTGGAGAAGTCCACCCGTCTCGTCCCTTAAGATTAGAGGCGGAGATGCGACGACAAAAACTCTTGCGACCTCTTCTTGGCAAGATAAATTCATTAATCAAAGTGAATTGTTGCTGGACTCATCCGTGTAATCGATTATCGCAACTACCATTCGATTAGTGTTAATCGAGGAATCGTAACGTCCCTCATTGAAACCAAGCAGGACACATCGATTCCACAAACCCCGGGAACCGATGGGGAAGAGGAATCGTGACCGGAATCGGAATCGAATCGCGACACCTGCTGAACGAGGGATCGTGTTGAATTACCACCGCTCGCTACCCGGCGTCGTTCTGCAAGAGTCCGCGTCGATTTACCCCTCTCAGCTTCTGTTTACTCTTAGGGAAACCCCTTGCTTGCGTATACCGTACCCCTGCCAGCCCCTATCCCCTATCTGTGTACCCCCACCAGCCCTACCCCCTATCTGTGTACCCCCACCAGCCCTACCCCCTATCTGTGTACCCCCACCAGCCCTATCCCCTATCTGTGTGGTTGATGAGTTATGGGTCTGGACTATAGATTGGGTGTTGAGTTCTGGGTCTGGGCTATAGAGTGGGTGCTGAATTGTGGGTTTGGGCTCTAGAGTGGGTGATGATTTATGGTTCTGGGCTATAGAGTGGGTGCTGAGTTCTGGGTCTGGGCTCTAGAGTGGGTGCTGAGTTGTGGGTCTGGGCTCTAGAGTAGGTGCTGAATTGTGGGTCTGG